TGAATAGGATTGTAAAGCAACAGTGTTAGTAAATAGTGTTGTTCGTAGGATTTTCTCAATTTACTAGTATTCAATACTTGCAGCAAGCACCATCGCCACACAGGGAAAAACCACTTGAGCAGGCACATCCAGCAGAAGAGGAGTAGCAGGGAATCTGAAATTTTAAGCACAACAAAACCCTTCTAAAATTGGTTATTTCTACAAATAAAGGCTCACAACGTATTGTTGAGGATATAGAGACTGGCACGACTTGTAGCATGACTGTTCGCACATTGGTTTGCAATAAGCAAAAGTTGAAGATGTTAAACAAGGAGTCATGCAATTTCCTTGACACGTCTGCTGACATATTGGCAAACCGGCTTGTACAACCGCCTTAATGGGAGCAATTGTAAAGGGCATGGTGAGAGAGTCTCTGGAGCAAATTTAATGCTAAGTAAAGGGGGTCCTTGATAGTACATTTTCTTAGCAAATGGCTGTCAGTAATTTAAAATTATATTCTGGATAACCTCTTCTTTACTTTTGAAGCTTTACGTAACATTACTGTTCTATTCGTGTTTGAAGACTTATTAGGTAGTATTTTATTATCTAAGGTTATACCTGTTGAATTTGTAAGCCACAGTATCCTCCTTGACATTTCGAACAAGATGCTTGGCATTGGCTTCCACAGGATTGTACACAAGAAGTTGTTCTACAAATGTTACCGCACTGAAGCTGGCAAGATTGTTGACAGGAACTTGCGGGTGCTTGGGCAATGTTGATCACTATCTGATTCGGATTTCCTTTTTGAAGTTGGCTCTGTATACAACTTGGCAAACACTTTGGTTGGCATGCCGCAACACACTGAGGAGCTTGAACAATTTGTGGAGCTGGCAATATTTGTGGGACAGTAACAAACTGAGCAGCTTGAGGAATTCCAAATTGAAATTGGGGAACCTTCAGAAGTTGAGGTTGAGGAACTTGAAATTGACAAGAAGCAATGCACGATGGTTGACACGATCCCATACAGGCTTTATCCGTCGTGCACGACGCTGAACATTGTTGCAGGCAACGGTCTCTGCAGCCGAATTGTGATGTGAATTGCTGCACG